AGGATGGGAGAGGCCCAAACATGTGGCCATCATCCACTGCCTTCTCAGGCCATAAGCAGAGAGCCGGATCCAAAGGAGAACAGCTGAAACAGAAACCGATCTCCATAGGGATGTTGGCACTGTAGGCAGTGGCTTTACCTGCAATGCTGGCCCCTCCAAGGACTTTTCTTCTTGCATATCTCCCCCATTTCTTTCCATGTTGGCTCCTCCCTAAGGTGACTGCACATAATCCTCACCCCCTCATGTTCATTTCCTTTTAGAATTCCCTCCTCTTAAGGACAGACAGAACCTGCGAGACTCACATCTAACAACCAGAATATGGCAAAGATGCTGAGCATGACTCCTGTGTTATAGTGCATTATGCTTGAGGAGGAAGTTCATAAGGCAAAGGACTGTGAGACAGGGAGGTGGGATGGAAGAGGAGGAATCCTGGAGCTGGAACCCACGAGGCCCCCTATAGGTAACAGCCAGCAAGAAGCTAGTACCCTCAGTCCAACGGGCAGAAGAGAACAGATCCTGCTAACCACCTGAATAGGCCTGGAAAGTCAAGCCTTCAGATGAGAACTGCAGCCCATTCAACTCCTCCACTGCCAGCAGCCTTGTGAGACTCAGCAGCAAAAACAACTGCCCCAAATGCCCATAACAGGCAGCACAAGGCCAGGCTGAAGCCAAGAGCCTGGAATTTAATCCAGGCACCTTGTGGGAGACACGGATGCAAATGCTCATGCCATTATTGCTTGCCTCTCAGGTTACACTAGCAGGAAACTGGATTAGATACAGGTGGTTTAAGTACTGTATCACAACACCAACCCCTGCAAACTGTTTTTCTTTTAAGTGAATTTTCAAAAGAAACATTATTTATCCAAAAGGTAGTGTTGCAGAGAGACAGAGAAATAGAGACAGAAAGATCTTCCCTGTGCTGCAGCACTGTGGTCATAAAGGCAGGGGCTAGAACAGGACAAAACCAAAAACCTGGAAATCCACCCAGCTTTCCCACATGGTGGCAGGAGCCCAAGCACCTGGGCCATCTTCTGCTGCTTTCCCAGGCACATTAGCAGGAAACTGGATCAAAAGTGGAACAGCTGGGATTTGAATGGGTGTTCAGTGGGATGCAGGTGTCACAAGTGGCAGCCACAATGCCAGTCTCTGAGAAATGTTTTAACATGGAAAGTGCATGATCATTTGCCACAAAGCAATAGAAAGCAGTTCACTCCTTTTCTGTCATGTCCTAGTTAATACCCTGGAATCAACTGTACTCCATGTAAACGAAGTCTGTTCAAAGTGCCCTCCTGATTTTCTGCTCTTTCTCTGTTTTCCTTTCCAACAAAACTTGTCAAAGGACTTTTTCAGATGTGTCCCTGTGTCCTCAGTCCCCTTCAGCTGGCCATTCTACTCAGCTCCCATCATCAAAACTTCGCTCGTCCAGGAGACAGTGAGTCCCCAATTATCCAAACGAACAAGTCTCCATCACTCCCCAGATTCATTACACAGTTCATTACACCCCTCTTTTTTTTTTTTTTTTGCAATTACTTCTCTTGGCTTCCCTATGTTCTAGTTTTCTGACTTCTTATTTGGCTGCAGCTGTTTTTCAACCTTCCCGGCTGGCTTGTCCTCCCATACCTAAACCTAAATGGTGCTGTGCCCTGGTGTCTGGTCCAAGGCTTGCCTCTCTCAGTCCAAGCTGGGCCCCTTTTGCAATCTCCAGGCTTTGTATGACATCCTCGTGCTGATGCTCCAACCCTCACCTCTCCTCCCAACCCCCCGCTCGAGTCTACATCCAACAGCTATTGGCCCACTTGTAACATTCACTCAGATAGCTAACCCTCATCTCAGACCTCCCCCTCAACTCCACATCCAACGGCTACTGACCTACCTGTAGCATTCATTCAGGTGGCTAATGCTCACTGCAGACTTCACACAGGGCAAAACACAGTTGCCCTGGCTCAGCAAACAGCACAACTAACCCAGCCTTACATCACAGCGTCATCCTGGGTGTTCCCTTTTCCCTCATCCCCTTCCTGCCCCTCAGCCCTCTCCTTTCTCACTCCACATCTGCCATCACTGACTGCAAGTTGCCCCCACACGAGGGCAGTACTAACCACCTAGTTGGTCCCCCTGCTTCTTCTATTGCCATCCCCCAGACTTCACATGGCTGCATCTCTTGAAAACTACCATCTACCTGTGCACCCTTCTTTAGAACTTCCCACAACATTCCCAAGAGGCCCACCTTTGCTCTGCTGCTGGCCCCATCCTTCTCCCTTGACATATCTGGTACCTACTGAGTTCCAGCCTCACCCACCACCTGCTCTTTCCACCTCAACACTTGCTATTCCTTTCACCTGGAGAGATCTCCCATGCTACGTGGGGTACAGCCCAGTTTATACATTCCTCCTTAGAGAGCTCTTCCTGGGAGTCACTCCCACTTTTTCCTCCTAATTTCTAAGACACGATTTTCCTCTTGGCACACATTACAATCTGAAGTGCCATGCCTGCTTGCCTATTTATTTACTTGATGACGGCCATTATGCCTCTCACTAGATGTGAGCATCAGGAGGGTGTCCACTACTATGTTTGAGAAAATTACCTGTAGGTGTTCAACAGATACTTGCTGGAAAAAAAAAATCAATGTATAAATATACAAATACATTTGTTACAATTCATCAAAACAGATTTAAACAGATTTACTTTGGTATAAAAAATTTGAAATTTATGCCTAGATTTTTTATAATAAATATGTTCCAGCAAATGCCTAAAGGCCTCTTGGACCTTTCACATATAAGACACTGACTTTCTTACAGGCATTTCAGTAAAATTATATTTCATTAGAAAATCTCTTCAGATGGTGTCTGAAGACGTCTGTAATATAGAAAAAAAAAGGGGGACAAAAGCCTAAGTTTCAGCAAAGTTGTGTCCTAACACAGAGCTGGGGCCAGGTGTCTGGCACCGCAGTTCGGATGCCCCCTGGACACACACATCCTACAAGGGAGTGCCTGGGCTCCCATCCGGCTCCTGGTTCCAGCTTCCTGCCATTGTGAACCCTGAGAGGCAGCAGGTGCTGGCCCAAGTGCCTGGGTTCCTGCCACCCACCTAGGAAACCTGGATTGAGTTTCTGGATCTGAACTTTGCCAGGCCCAGCTGCTGTGGGTGTTAGGGGAGTGAATCAGCAGGTGGGCAGTCTCTATTTGTCAGTCTCTGTGCCATCTCCCTGCTCAGATGTGTGTGTGTGTCCTTTTCCCTCTCACTGCCTTCCACATAAATTAATTAAAATGCTCTAAATGAAGGCCATTTTGAAAGAGCATTAAAAGACATCCGTTTGGAGAGATGAATAATCTCTTCTGGGAATGTGAATTCTCACACCCTAGTTACTGTGTTTTATAGATTTGATCTGATCACAGAGCATAAATTACTATTAATGTTCCTATCACAAATTGCACAATCACTATCCAATCAGAAGACACATCTGTACTATTTCCAGACCAAAAAAAAAAAGCCAAGGAAACACCACACTTGCTATTCAGTGTGTCACTGACACCATGCAACGTAATTTAAGCCTGGCTCTATCCTGAAGCCACACAATGCAGGCTTTTCAGCAGACCATGGTAATGAGTGTGGTCCCAGTCCAGATTCCAACAAGCAGCTGTCAAAAGCTATCACCCCAAATGACTATTTGCACAAAACTTCTCACTCCGGGGACCGACCCTTCCAGGGTGGTCTAGAAAAGAAAAGACTTTCCACATCCACAGTGGACTATTCCAACAGCTGATATTTCACGTTTCTTTAGAAATGAAATTTGAAGTTTGTAGCAGCTGGCTCCCCTTCTCTTACTACCCCTTTGGGAGCCCACAAAGACTCTTCAAAAAAAGGCAAACTCTGTGAAATCCATTTGTATACCTATGTTTTTTCTTTTTTCTTATTAAAATACTAACAGCTTCTCAAACCCCAAGCAGTCACTCAGCTGATTTTAAGAACCACTCTGGAAAACAAAAACAAAAAAACTCTTTCCATCGCTTCCCACTTGATGCCCTCAAAACTTCTTAGCAACACAGACTGTGCAGCACCTCAACATGGTGTGCTCTGTCCAATCGCAAGCCCGAAAGTAAGCCAGTGGGTTGTGTAATAAATCCTTTATCTCCTGAAGATACACAAAACGGAAAGATCTCACAGAACCGCAGAGCACAGGGACTTCGCTAGAATTCTTAGCGAAACTAACATCCATTATCAATCAACACCAAATCCCTTCCTTCCCGTATTTTCCGATTTTCTCTATTTTTTTTTTTTCCTCCCTTCTCATTTGCAATTTTGAGGGGAAGGGGAGGGGAAACCCAAAGTGCAAAACAAGGCTGAGTTTAAGCACTGAGGCGGGGCGGGGGGGAGAGGGAAGAAGGACAAGCCAAAAGCTGCCAGCAAAATGCTTGTGGGAACCAAGGGCTTGCTTTTGGCTGTACTGGGCTTCCCTGGTTGCCCCAGCAGCCCTGGGAGGGAAACTCATCAGCAATAGTTCCTGGGGGGTGGGGGGCAGGAGGGGAGTAGGAAAGTCTGCGAGATTGGGAAGAGAAGCGGCTGGTTGGCTTCATTTAAAAAAAAAAAAGCCCTTAAAATAAGCAGGACACACTCCTGTCTGGGTGGTGGAGGAAGCCTTAGCTCACACTTCTCAGCCTCACCCGTCCCTACTGGGCGCAAACCTGCACCTACTGCGTCCCATCTCCAAGTTCCTCCACCCCACCCGGGAGAAGCGCCCTTTCCCCCGCACCCTCTCCAGGCAACAAGCCCGATCCGGCCCTGGAGGAGCCGTGGGGAGCGGCGTCTCCGGGAGAAGCAAGCGGCCCGAGGCGCAGGCAAATCAACAGTTCCCTTGCCCGGCCCCGCGTTGCCGCCAGCGCCGCTAGGCTGACACACCCCTCCCGGCCCCGCGTCTCCGGTCTCCGGTCCCCGGCCTCCACCGCCCGGGGCTCGCCTCGGAGCCCGCGGCTCCCGCGCGCGCCACCGCACCCTGCACGCACCTTCAGCGCGCCCCGGGCCGGGCCCTTGGGGACCGCGCGGCAGGGTCCGAGGGGCACGAAACGCTCCTCGCCGTCGTCGTCGTCGTCGTCGCCGTCCACCACCTCGACGACCACCTCCTCGTCCTCGTCTTCCTCGTCGTCATCCTCCTCCTCCGCGCCCCCTCGGGGCTTCTCCTCTACCGGCCCGAGCCCCCTCCGCCGCCGGCTCGCGCCCTCCTCGTCCTCGTCCTCCTCTCCCAGAAGCAGCAGTACCGGCGACGAGGCGGCGGCGGCGGCCCCGGTGGCCCGAGGGGGGCCGGTCCCGGAGCTGCGCGGCGGCGGCGGCAAGGGCGGCCTCCAGCTCTCCCGAGCCGGGGCCGGGGCAGGGCCCGGGGCAGGGGGCGGGAGCCCGGGCAGCGCGGCTTCCTTGGCGGACGCGAGTGCGGGCCCGGGCGGCTGCAGAGCGGCGCCCCCGCGGCGGCTGCCCAGGCTGGAGCGCTTGGCCAGACGCCGCGCCTGCATGCCTGAGCGCGGGGCTGCGGGCCGCGGGGCCGCGCCGGAGAGTTTGTCACCTCCGCTTCCTCTGCTTCCTTCCCCGCCGGCCGCTTTGGCCGCAAGGCGCCCAGGTCGTGGGGCTGCGGGGGGACGGGGCTGCGGGAGCCGCCTCCTCGGGCTTGCGGCTGCCTGTGGCTGCAGAAGCGCGGGAGCCGCCTTCGCTGGACCGGCCCGCGGGGACGCCGGCGGCCGGCGGCTACGGCGGGGCGGCGCGGCGGCCGCGGGCGGGGGTGGGTGTGAGCGAGCGGCGCGCTGCAGCCTCCGCCTGCGCCGCCCCCGCCACTGCCGCCCGGGAGCCGCGGGCCGAGCTGCGCTCCATGCGGCTGGTAGCCGGGCCGGCGCGCGCCTCTCCCCGGCCGCTGCGCCCGCGCGCACCGGGCCTACCGCTAGCGTCCCTGGGCGCGAGCTGTTTGTGCGGTGTGTTTTCCTCCACCGCCCCCCCACCCCCCTCCACGAGCCCTTTCCTTGCAGCCCTTCGGTCCCCCGCCGCGCAGACAAAACCCGGACTGGATTTGTTTCTCCTACCCGCGGTCTCCAAAAACCTGGCGCATCCACGCGGCTGGCCCGGACGCCAGGGCAAATGCGTAACCCTTGAGCCCCTTCTTTGCCCCGGACAGAAGAGGATTGGCTTGGCTCGAACCACGGTCATAAGCTTGCAACGGAGAGATTCGCTGCACGTCTTCTGAATGTACATGGCGATCAGTCTAAGCAGTCCCTGTGAAACCGGGGAAACGTGGATGGATCCTAGCACGGATTATCAGATCCTTTGAAACGCCGGTAGTCCCTCTAAACTCCTTACGGCGTGCTAGGCCTTGTCTCTGGAAAGCTGCACTGGCCCAAGGTCTTTCTGCTTCTTCTGCCTGCTGCCTTCAGGGCCTGATGGTGGCCACATCCCCAAAAGCTTTCTGCTGCCCCCATGTAATTTGTAAGACTCTCTGTTGGCCTGGTCCAGGTACCAAGAGAACTGGGCATTCAAGATTGTTGGTGTCTGTTATTTTGAAAATATGAATACCTGAAAATCAAACTCATAAGCCAGTTTCCCATCCAATCCATGATTTTAGCACTTCGTGAGGACACGCAGGTGTGACGAAAGAAACTTGTTTGCTCTGCTTTGAGAACTAGACTAGCTAGTCAGCCACGCTCGTAATATCCAAAGCATACCCCTTGTCCCAGCTCCCAAAAGCCTGGGTCCTTGGAGTTTCCTCAGCTCAGCTAATTGCTGTTGGAGTGTTCACATCGTTCTCCCTGTTAGATACTGAAAGGAAGCTTATTAAATGCTCCCTTATAAATGTCTTCCAACTGTTGAGCAGGGATGATGATGAAGATTCTGAAATGAACTTCTTGTTCTCCCTGAACCAGATTAGCTTCCTCATACACCTGTTTCAGGTGATGACAGTCTGATTCTACTCATCCAGGCCCAGAGGAGTGGGGATCGTGTTAACTGCCTTCTCTCTCCTGGGTCTCTAGAACCAGGTGTCCCTGAAAACCCAGCCCATCGTTCTTTCTAAAACTCCTTTTGTAGATGCCTTCCTTTCTGCTCCTGAAGCTCACCCGGCATTGCATGCCTTCTAAAGGGAAAGTTTCTAATGGTCCCGGGCACACAGTTCCTCCACCCACACACCCTTGCCCTTGAAGGGATCACCACTGTTGGATTCATACTCTCCATTCCAGTCATGGCATCCTCTGGTCAGACTTTCCCTTTGGAAAAATCTTGCGCAGGAATCCGAAAGGAGACAGCAGTTTGTGCCTTTTAACGTGTGCCAGGTCATTGCAGTGTTTTTGTTTTCCTTGGAAGAAACAGCTTGCTTGATTTGGGAGGTGACATCAGAGAAAGTCAGATCCCTTTCTGTTCAGGAGGAATCACGTCTGGGTCCCAAGAGCTGGACAGAAAGGTGCTGAAACAAGGCTGGGAGAGAATGAAAGCAAAATCAGTGGGCTGGTTGCTGGGCGTAGGGCCTTGGGATTCAGACTCCTATGCCTGGATCCTGATTCTGGAACTTTCTGGCTACCTGTCCTCACCAGGCCTCAGGTTTCTTATCTGTAAGATGGAGATAGTAGTGATACCTGTTTTATAGCAAGGCTGTTTTGTAGACTGATAAGTTAGTAAATGTACTCAGCATTCAAGGATGGTTGGGATAAAATAAGGTCTATATAAAGGCTTATGAAACTAATAGATTTGTAGTAGTTTATAAACTAGGCGACTTGGGATAGTCTTAGAGAATAGCAAATTTATTTTCTTCTAAGTGAACTCAGAAATGTTTGTAACTAGCAAAACATGCTTTATTTTATCGGGGGGGGGGGGAACTGTGATCAGGCCAAGGATAAAGGTTTTTGTGTCTAAAGTTTCTATTACATGGGAGTATATGTTTTCCTGGAAACAGAGAAGAAAGGCAAAATCAATGAAAAAGTGAGTGGCATTGGAGGCTCAGAAGATGGTGCACTACTGTGCTTTCCTTTCAAAATTGCATCCATACTTCAAGATTGTCCGTTTTTCTCTCTTAGGTCATTTCAGTGGAGTCTGGACTCATGCCTTCCCTGGTTCTGCAGAAATGGAGAAGTCTGCCCTGTCTGAGTAAGGAAAAAAATTGATATTGTGGTATAGCAAGAAAGGCTGCCACCTCCAATGCCAGCATCTCCACTTCGGAATATGAGTTCCAGTTCCAAATCCTGGCTGCTTCATTTCTGATGCAGCTCTGCTGCCTGGGAAAAGCAGCAGAAGATGGCCCTAGTTCCAGGGACCCTGCCACTCACGTGAGATACCTGGATGTAGCTCCTGGTGCCTGGCCTCATTCTGGCACAGCTGCAGCAGTTACAGCCATTTGTGAACAAGTAGATAGAGTTCTTGTTGTCTCCGACTTTGTTTCAGAAAAGAGAGAATTGGCCTTGTTGTTCAGACGATAAAAAGGAGCCTGTGTTGCCAAAGAGCTTTGGCCCACGCTTGGTGTTGAGGGATGAGGATTTGAATAGGCCGAGAAAGCAGCAGCATCCGGAAGGGTATAAGCCACTGCAGACCATCCACATGCAGTCACATCTTTAAATGGGAAATAAAATCCAAAATCCAAGTTCATCAAAAATGAAGACAGTATACTGTGGCATGAGCTCATGTCACACTGCACACCTGACACAGGCCAAGATGTCAAGACCTAACTCATGGTGCCAAGGAAATCAGGACTCATTGCTCTTTCCTCCACATTCTTTTTTTTTAAAGGTTTATTTATTGTTATTGGAAAGTCAGATATACAAAGAGGAGGAAATACAGAGAGAAGGATCTTTCATCTGATGATTCACTCCCCAGGTGACTGCAATGGCCAGAGCTCAGCCGATCCGAAGCCAGGATCCAGGAGCTTTTTCCAGGTCTCCCACGCGGGTACAGGTTCCCAAGGGTTTGGACCATCCTCTACTGCTTTCCCAGGTCACAAGCAGGGAGCTGGATGGGAAGCGGGGGCTTTCAGGATTAGAACTGGTGCCCATACGAGATCCTGGCACATGCAAAATGAGGACGTTGCCACTAGGCTACCATGTCAGGCCCTCCTCCATGTTCTTCAGACTTGAACTTTTTTCTCCAGAAACTAGGAGTGCTTGCCATAGAAGCTGAGGAGGCTTGTGTCTGAGACACAGGGTAGACAGCACACATTCCAGAAGCACACATCCCAGCCAAGGCATCATCATTATCTAAAACCTTCCAGGTTGCATCGCACACAAATTGATTAAGTCCTGCTAAGTTCTAGGCTAGCTCTTGGCACGGGTGCGCAGCTGAGAAAACTTGCTGAGAAAGAGAGTAGACAAGAAGCAAAGCAGAGAATTCTGTGAATTCGTGATGCAGTTGGTGCTATGGAGGAAGGAGAAAAAAAGCAGGGGAGGGGAAAACAGTGTGTGCTAGAGGTTTACTGTAAAGAAATGTGTGTTTTTGTAAAAATAAATATCAAAACTATCTAGGGAATAGGCATTTAGTCCAGTGGTTAGGTTGCCCACATCCCGTTATTACATGAGCTGGGTTTTCTCCCTGGCTCTGGTTCCTGGCTCCAACTGGGACCCTGGGAGACAGAGGTGATGTCCCATGTGAGAGTTCTGGTCTTAGTTACTGCTCTTGACTTCTGCCTAACTCCACTCCAGCAGTTGCAAGCATTTAAGAAGTAAACTAGCTGCTGAGTTTTTGTGTATGTATCTTTCTATTGGTGTGTCTCTGCTTCTCAAATTAATAATAATAATAATAAACAAGATGGAGTGTTGTATGAAGTCAAGTACACATGAAGCCGTGGGCTCGGTCCTCTCCACTTCAGCTATGACACTTTATCACACAGTGTAAGAAGTACTAAGAGAAGGACTAAGAGAAGTAAGAGCCACAGTGGAACAGCAGGAAACTGGCTGCTCTGTGTCTGCTTTCCTGCAGTCCACAATAATTCTAAAACCTTTGAATTCTAAGCCTCAAGACACATAAAATACTCACTTTACGTGTATGTGGAAAAGATGCATAAAGAAAATCGAGTTCAATTTGACATCATATTCAATCTTTTAATTTTGTTTTAAGCTTACTTTATTTTTATTTGAAAGACAGATTTTTACAGAAAGAAGAGAAATAGAGAGAAGTCTTTCATTCAGTGGTTCACTCCTCAATGGCCAGAGGTGAGCTAATCCAGAGCCAGGAGCCTCTTCTGGGTCTCCTTACATATATGCAAGGGCCCTAGGACTTGAACCATCCTCCACTGCTTACCCAGGCCACAAACAGAAGAGGAGCAGCCAAGACACAAACCGGTGCCCATATGGGATGCACAGGGCAGAGAATTAACATGCTATGCCACTGCTCCAGCCCCACCATCTTTTAACATTTAAATTAACAGAAGGAATAATCATGCTCCCTTCCCAAACCCCCAAATGAGGGCAGAAATACAACGCATTTTGCCCATTAATGCCACCCTTTTTACTATCCCTGTGACAATTATTCTCAGTGGATTTGTTGAATGCGGTGG